TGTAAGAAAAACATCCACAGAAATTTTCAGATGTACCCATACTATAAAAATTGCATACTGTTAGAAATTCAAATATAAAATAATTTTTTCTGTATCTTTGTTAGGTTATAACTGTTTTTTTGTCGGACCTTGTACAAGACAACTAGAATAATTTTTAGAAAAAAATTAAATATATTATACAAATTAAATGATTGATCTATTTATTACTTGATAAGTTTCACTAAATCAACCAGAACATTTTTTTTTTTTTTAATTTGTACACAATTTATAATTCCGCTAATAAAACATTATATTTATGATATTTAGCCATATATTAAACTATAATATACGGCTAAATATCTAGACTTTACTGAATACTTAGCTCTCTTATTTTATAACATTTTTTAGTTTATTATTTAAATATTCGACTAAGGAAATCAATATTTTTCAATGCATAAAAGAAACAATATATATTTTCTAAATGTGCATCTTACGGATCTGTAATTCTTGTATAATCCGATATTTATTCTTTGATTTAAAACCAATATATAATAATATTATTGTAATATTTAGATCTTATAAAAGCAATCAATACAAAATATTAAAACGTTAAGAATAATAAGTAGTACTTATATAGTTATAGTTCACATTTATACTTTATATTGTAATAGGTGGAACCGTGACTTAAAATAATTCTAACCCTCTTGCCAGTAAGTGTTGCCGCTGGGTGATTACTTCATCAAGTCAATCATGTCATTAARCGTAAATCCTCAAACATGCTTATTGTAAAATGTATTTATAGATTGTATGTATTAAAAATAAAAGTTTAAAAAAAAATATTGTAATAGGAATTTAAAATATACTAAGTACCTACCTATATATAATAGAATTTATCGTTAGTGTATTTGGTATTTTGTGTTTCATCCTATAGTTATTATTTGCTTACTCGTTTGTTTATATTTATAAAATCAGTAAAACGTAAAAACTCAAAACTCCGCTCAAAACGTTCGAAATAAGTACCTACCTAAATTATAATCATATTTGATAAGATTTGATTAGATAGCAAGAAAAAATATTACCTTATAATATATTATAGATATTTTTTAAATAGAATAAATTGACGTAAATTATGATGGYGTGAACTGTTATTTATTGACAGCTTTAAAGTTTAAACTTTTTCTTTTTTTAAATAATTATAATTAAAAAAAATAATTTATCTAAAGACTAATTTATCTAGATCGATAAGACTCAGGTACATGCATACCGTTTAATAGGTCTAAAATTGAAACACATRAGAAAAATAGAAATCATTGATAATATTAGAATTATTATAATTTATAATCTACCATACAAAGTCTAATAAATGTAAATTATAAAATATAAATAAACAATCAATAATAATATATACATTTTATTCGTGGCCTGAAACACACTTGGTAAATCTATAATAATTTTTAAGATCATTTTTTATAAAATCAAAAAAGAACGCGGGGAAAGAGGGGTAACCAATGACGTATAGGATATAATGTTATAATTAAATTTAAACACGAACATACCACGCAAAGAGCATTAACGGCAAGAWCAGATGCAAGTATAAAATAATCAATATCAATCCATGAAGGGTAATACGTACTAAAGTAGAATAGATAGGTACAGGAGAACCAACATTTATAAGAAATATAATTATTGAACTGGTTCCAGTGGGTGATCTACAACCACGCCTTTTCCGGCCGCCAGTCTTAGACCTCGTGGAGCCCGACGATTTAACTAACATTAAATTCATAATTTTTTTTTCTTCATGTGTTCTAAACCAGTAGTTAATTTGCAATGTAGAGATTTCCCTAAGAGATTATTATTCACCCGTATTTTTATGTTGAAAAATATGTTTAGGTACTCTACCAAGTACCTACCAATATTTATTATACACGTTGGACACTTGGAAATACATACATGTGCGTTTATATAGGTAGGTATACATATATAGATGCCACTCGAGGGTGCGTACATATATATTTTCATCTACGGCGCCAACTTTCTGGACACAACCAGTGTAATTTTGTCCTTCGAAATGGCGCCGAGACTCTGGAGACTATACAKAATACAATAGACGCAGTTCTTCAAATCCCAAAATATATACGATGTTATGGTCCTCACGTATATAAACTATAATACAATAACAGGTACTAAACGAATGGATGTACTCAGTTAGACGGTTAGACATAATAAACAATTTTAAYATATTATAATACTATTTAGTATGAGGTTTATTTATACAATAACAACATATTTGTAAGTAATTATAGAAGTTTTCAGTATGCTAAAAAATACTGAATGTTAGAAAAAATATAGATGACTTGCATCAATGCATCATAAATATTAATTTTTAATAACAATTAAATAATTGTTTAACATTTTGGATTAATAAAATGATGTATATATATAACATACTTTGCTTGTTCTTCAAAACTTAATATGTACCTATTGTACCTATCACTGTACCAGGTGCCTGTACAACACTATACAATTTTCTACCACGACATTGATGAAATAAATCAATCAAACGAATATAGGAAGTACCGGGGTAAATATGTCTATTTGTGTATTTTGAATACATAACAAAGATAAATAGAAAACGTCCTCGTTAAGCGTATAATAAATATAGGAACTTAAGTATAACAATATTTGATAGTTTATATGTGTAAAGAATATTTTCACCCTCCTTGATAAATACAAATTAGGTCATTTTTAATTTTAACATTGATAATCAAACATATAAATTAAATAAAAATAGATAAAAACTGAAAATTGCTCGATTAGACTCGGTTATCCGCGGAAACGCATTTGACAAGCCTCGTGATACGCTGCTGAATGCTGATACCCTTTGACTCGTGCTCGGAAGTTTGCTTCGAGAGTCACAAGGACCAGTGAGCCAATATACGTGTTAGGAGAATTCGATTTTGCACACTCAAAATARACCTAAGCAGTTTTTTTAATTTAAATTTTAAAATAACTGAAAAGTACTTTCCTCGAACTTTCCTTGACCATTGATTTTTCAAATTTATAAACATTTTTTAAAACCGCACRGATTCAGCTTATATATTTCTCAACAAATTCTATGCTAATTTAGTTGGTTATAATAATATTAATATTAAGTACCTATTAATTATACATAAACCGAGACATAAACTGAATTAGAAATCTGGTAAGTAGTTTTACCATGGTCTATGTGATGATATTTGGAGATAGAGGAAATACATGTGGGTAGCGTCTTCTTTACCGACGCTTTATACTTTATACATTTGGTGACTGTAGATATTTAGCAATATTATTTATTTTCTTTCGTTTGAATACATATTATACTAACGTTAAATGAAAAGAGTGCAATCTGCACGATAGTCAATAATTAAGAATACAATAAATGTTTGTGTAACTCAATAAATAAATAAGTAGCTGCCTACAAAAATATTTTAATACTAAGCTTATCAACATTTTTTATGAAATATAATACAACAATAATTACAATAAAACCATTAAAATGTTGTTAGAAACTAACAATTTTATATGTATATACCTACAATTATTATACCTACAAATAAATTTTAAAAAATATCAGTCAATGACTAGACTTCAACAAAATAATAATATATATTAAAGCAACTCTAATCACCAATAAGACACGGCTATTTCCGGTTTAATAGGTTTGAACTATACTAAATATTGATTAAAGCGTAAACATTTCAATCGGAAACGGATATTGATAAATCATCATACAATACATTTTATCTAAATCAGGAGTTGAATTTAACTTCCAAACTACATTCAAATATCTATTATCAATTTCTATTACTATATGYAAATTATGTGTACTATGCAGTTATTATTATACATTATATCTACCTATTAAAATATAATTTTTTATTTAAAAAACTGTTTCATATTTTAACTATAGCTTGAACGTAGATACCCATGTTTTCTAATCCTCTCTTGGTTTATACGAAATATATTTTGGATCCATCCTTTTCCAAAAACTACTGTTAAAAAACAAATATCAACTACAACTATGAAATAAAAATAAATACCTATTTGTGCCGGAAAGTAATTATTATCAAAGTTATACGACGAATTCCTACTATRCATACTSTCTAACGATTTATGACTAATTATGAGTCTCTAATTCTCATTATTGCAATTAACTTCTAGTCGACCGATGGAAGATACAAACGCGGTCTACGTCGAAATCAAAAATAGTAAATATACCTATAATACTAATATAATAGATGTTTATTAGATCTTAGATCCTTTAATCCTATTAATCCAAATATCAGCTAACGATGCAAAAAGCAAACACTGGAAACTCACCGTTTCAAAATCGTCTTCGAGCGTCGCTCCAATCCTTATTATTTTAGAACTGTCGAAAACACGAACAAATCAAAAACAACAAGAACAAACAAATATTATCGTATATCCACCGATCGACAAGCAGGTGGACAATTAATAAACGGTAACGGTATATTATTTAAAAATGTAATAACTCAACGGATGTCACAAAAATCATATTTATCAATTTAAAAATAAATCCGACGACACAAAACTCAACAAAACTACCGACCAATAGAGAAAATTCGAGCAACACTAACGTGAAATACRCACTACACCAAACAATGACAGCCGCACAACGAGTTGTGTCTCGGACTGGTTTGAGTTTTGTTTACGTTCCAAAGAACGTGTCGGTGTGAGCGACCATGGTAAAAAAAAAAAAAGTAGTAACGGTAATGAGATGGGAGCGTTGCTATACCCGGTGGCGTTGACCGGTGCGGCGGTGGTGTGGTGTAGTTTGTGAACTGGTGTATGCGCGGTCGTGGCTGTTTCAAAAGTAAGCAGTGTGACCAACCCGAGCACAAGTCGATAAATCTGTTGACGACAGATAGACAGACTGGATTTACTGCCAATGATAAGGTGATAAAAATAAACGCGATAACATATTATTGCGTTTGAGCGTGTGATAAGATATTATATTTAATAATTAATACATTTTAAATTTTTTAAATAAGTATGCAACTACTTTAATAMTTTAGCTACTAGCTGCCATTAAAAAGCCTATAGTTCAAGTTGATGGTAGTTTTGTAGTTTTTGTATCTTGGTTTTGTTTCTATAAGATGTTATAATAGTCGTCTTACTTAGTGAATAAGTAAGATTCTTGATAAGAAAAACTATATGTTTTACAATGTTGTGTTCTAACAATATTTTGTATTTTGTGCGATTCTTGAAATAATGATTAGGCTAAGTAAACTTTTATAGAAACTGCGGCTACAATCGACTTAAACGATGGCCACTGTTATAGCCATCGATCTGTCTGTGTCTATGCTCAGAGACATTAAAATCAAAGATACCAAAGAGTCCTTTACGTTGCTACAGTTGGCTACACATGGTGTCAATGTTCTGTTGGACTATTTAGCTGTACACTCCAAACTAGAGTTTGTGGCTGTTGTGAGTATTTATTTAGGATAGTAAAATGTACCAACAATGCTAATTTTAAATATTACCAAATACTATTTAAATGGCTTTATTACAAAAATACTAATAGTATTAGTAATTGCATTGGTTTGTGGCTTTGCGCTGACCTCTTTTTAGGGTATGCAAAAGGCTGTCATTGGCATACCCTGAAAGTTATTTTAAGCATCTAAAATTCTGATAATTTATATACCTACACAATAAACAAATATTGAAATGTCTTAATGTTTAATTAAAAAATTATTATAACAAATACCATGACAAAATATAAATACTTGGTAATTGATAACTAATAACTAGATGTTTCAATTTGCTAATGGCACCCGGCCATRGATATGTTTATATGTCGATGGTGGTTAGTATACGTGAATCAAACATTGTCACTGCTGTTAGTCTGATATGATTTTTCTCATTTTTAACCATTTCTTAACATTATAAATATTTTGATATAATATGTACCTACTAATTTTCTTACGCCAAAAAGGTTTTTTTCTTGAGTCGATTTTCACCCCTCGGAGATTCAGGGTATGCAGCTGCATACCCTGCTCCCTGCATACTCCCCGCACGTGCCTATGAGTAATTGTCTTACTAATGGTGTGATAATTTGTGCCTACAGTGACATGTGATTTTTATATATTATATAATRTACTTTGTTATTTACTATTCCTATATCTTATTTATACTTTAAATATCTATTTATTTTTTATTGGTTTTATTTATTACCACAAAAATATGTTTTTAAAGAATAATATACAGTCATTGTATAATTGTTTTGTTTTATTAGTTAGTACCTATGAACAATACAAACTTATATTAAATACATTCAATAAACTTTACTCAGAAATCAGGATAACACCTATTTTATTTATGATAAATTTGCATGTTTATTTGAATTTAGAAAGTGAAACTATTTTCTTAATTGTGTATTTATAACTTATGTCTAATTGATAATTAATACCTATTATTTACTACTTTTATAATACTCGTTGCCTAATATTTTGTGTTACAGGTTACATTTTCATCCACTTGTGATGTACTATGTTCATTTACCCGTGATTATGACTTGATTAAATCAAAAATCACTCAATTGGAGTTTAGAACTAAGACATGTTATCCGCCTGTAATTCAGACTATTAATTATTTAGTCCATAGTGAGTGGTCTAACTCGGTTACCTGTCAAGTAAGACATAAATTATATTTGAAACAACAGTAGAATATCATTCATYCAGACCCAATTGGTCAGGACTTTTGTTTAATCCTGACAACTGTTTATAATACATATTGAATAAACCATGTTAATTGTCACATTTTGTGGGTTAATTTATTTTTTCTGAACTTTTATTAATTCGGAAAACATAGAGCACCAATTAGTCCAGATTAATAAGGTTCTACTGTGTATAGTGATTAATATTTTAATAATTTTAATATTTAAAATAATATTTTTTAGGTTATTATGATTACTGATGGTAATTGTTATGAAGGTCTTCGAAAACCAGACATGACTCCATTTCTATTTCCTGGAAAATTAATAGTTGTTCCTCTGGAACAAGTGTCATCACTTTACAAAAATAATTATGACTCTAACAAACTTCCAAATGGACTTGGATATATAACTTCACCTGAATTGCCTTTAACTCCATCATCTGTAGCAAAAGTGTTTGAAAAAATTGCTAAAGAAACATATGTACCATATAGCGCAGTGTTACGATGTGGTAATTTAAAGTCAGACGTTCATTTGATTCCCCCTCCAATGGTAATATAACAATTTCTTTTTATTTAGCATTTAATTTTTTACCTAATTTATTTGAATATTTTAGTCTTATACAAAAGCTGCGGATTTYGAAATAATGACTTGTTGCATTTCAAGTGAACTTAGCATAATTGGATTTCTAGAGTCCTCAAAAGTAGAATGCCCAGCAACTTTATCCCGTCATCTTGTTTTACCTCAACGCATTTTAGATGAATGCTCAGAGACTAATGAAGCATCAGCAAAAACTCCATCTTTCTGTGTGTTATTACACGGAGCTTTAAAAGTAAAAACTTTGTATTAATGTATAACAATTAAATTAGCTTAAAATAATAAATGAAAATATTTAAAGGTAGAAAACATGACAGCTGTTTGTCAGTTAAGCTCTAATTGGTATGGATTATTGGTTAGTTGGGCAGACAATAAAAAAAAATCAAATTTAATGTTGATTATTCTTGAACCTGGAACAAATGCTATTCCTTGGTTAGGTGATATTCGAAATCTTACATTATCACCAACAGAATTAAACAAATCAGGTAGTAAATATCTTATGTAATTGTTACATATTATTATTATTCATATTTTACTTAACATTACAGATGTCGATGAAACACAACCAATTAAGACTCCTGATAAACGTAGTTATAACCAGTCACAATTGGTGTGGATTAAAGAAGCTGGTCTTCAAGCAGATATTCAAAAAATTTTAAGACAAGCAAGAAAGATGCCAGATAAAATTCCAAGCTTTTATAAAGTAATTCAAAAGTTATATTAAAAATATATTTTATTTGTTTTCAATAAATTTTTCTTTAGGAATTAAATCGTATTCGAAAAGCTGCAATCGCTTACAGCTTCAATGACTTATTAACCAGTATTGCTGATTTATTGGAACTAGAATGCAGCAATTTACCAGTTGGTACTCATCCAGATTGTGCTCTACAATTAACCCATGCTGCTATAGAATTGCGAAAACCTCTTGCTATGGATCCCAAACTCACAATTGCTCCTATAATCCTATGACAACAAAATATGCTCAGCATGAACTTTATTAAATAACAAAATATTTYAAATTATAAGTTATAAGTTATAACATAATGAATAATGATTAATGTATGAATATCTTATTGGATTATTCACATCAAATTAGATTATAGAATTTTGTATTTTATATATGAGGAAAAATGTCAAATATGTTTTCTTTAATCTAAAACTATTTTTGTTTATGTCAAATTTATCAAAGTAAAAATTAGTATCATAATAACTTGTTGATTTTCATAAAAAAAAAAATAATAATAATAATATTGTTCATACACTAATGACGGTACCATGTTCTTAAATTTTTAGCATTATTCACAGACCCTATTTAAAAYTGGCAAATACATGTAATCATATACATAAATCAGATATTTTTGATACAGTAAGAGGGGAATATCAATTGATAACTAATAAACATAATCAAACAAATAAATWATAATTTGATACCAAAATATTATGATTCTTGATAAATTGAAGATACGTGGTATTATTTATATTGTATCAAATTGAACTTTTTTAATGTTTTATTAATATTAATAACTTAGTATGATGATAATATAATTTGTTAACAATTGGTAATTTACATGTTAGTTTATAATACAGGTTTCAACCACAATTGATTAAAAATATAATTTATTTGTTCCATAAATAAATAAATAAAATATAATAATCAACAATCAACAATAAATAAACTGTTTTAATAAGTTACTAAGGAACAAGAAAATTAACAAATGTTTATGAATCAAATATACACATTTCACTAATACGAATAATATGATAATAGTAGTAAGTTTCCATTAATAATATTAACTTTATACATAAATTGTATGAAAAACTTTTAATTAGTGCACAACAAAGTTAACTTTTGATAAAATTGTACAAACTAAACTGTCAATATAATATTATGTTTAAACATTTTGTATTTGTTTAAATTAAGGTTACCCTATAATATAAAATGTAACAGATATTTCTTATAAATTGCCAATAATATTAATAATTTTATCCAAGCAGAGCAAAATTAAATTTGTTGTTAATTTAAAAATAAGTASACAGGAAAAATTTAACAAATAGTTGGGAGTAAGAACAAAAACTGTTTTTAAAAGTAGTTACATATACTTAGCGTAAACGGTTTTTTAGGATTTATTAATTGTACCTTAATGTATTTTTGGAAAGGGTATAAGTGAAAAATAAAAATTAAATATCCTTTAAACATTTTATAAAATAGTAACAAATGTCAGGCTAGGTAGAATGTACAGTAAAAGATTTATAGACAATGCATTTTATATAAAAGACATAATATTACTTTTGAAGCTGTTAAAATAACATCAGCATAATATAAACTATATTATAGTCAAATGTCCCTATAAAATAAATGTTAAGACAAAAAATAAACAATTGTTTAATGATCAGTTCATAAAGATGTTAAAATGTTTAGTTCACAATTTTATTTTATTCAAATTCACAATTCAAAAATTCAATTTTGATTATTGTTAATGTGATACATTAATCAACCATTGTTCTACAATTATTGTTTTTTAAACCATMGGTTTACCAATATTAACTAATATATATATAATTATATTTGATTAATGCATAACTAACTGAGCTCATGAATCGTACGAATATTACTACGACTCTTATTATACAATACYGTAACAATAAACAACAAAAGCTGCCCCCCTCCCCCTTAAAAATGAAAAATAATTTGCAGTTTTAAAGAATGTGATGAAAAATTCTTTGTATACATTTTATTATTCAATATTGTGTGTATTAGTATTTTTTGGGGACTAGTCTATAGACTCCTCGCCCCCAACAGAAAATTGATCCTATATTTGCACCAGTGAACACTCGACCGAAATTAGTAATTCGCCAAACACTATATAAATGTCAGTATGTCACATATTTTATTTGGACCGTACCCTGATTATATAATGCCTTTATTAGGTTCTTATTATCTACTAGGCATATGTACTCGTACATTTGTATATAATATATTACAATGTTGAATGTACTAAATATTAATGCACAAATAATACAATACATTTAACATTATAATGTATCGCGTTAGACTTTAATTTATAGTCAAACGTGATAATGAAACGAGTGTGTTGTACACGGTAAACCTATTTTACCTATATGGCCATTAGCTATTATGTTTATATACATATAGAGTTATTATATAGTTACCTAATATAATAAAACCTTGGTRAACCTTTCCCCTCTCCCGTCCCTTTCCCACCACATTCCTCGATTACCTATTTGACTAGTCGTGCACTCAAGTACTGCTGGCTGCTGCCACCAAATTACACGTTGGTAAATTTAATAATTTAATATCGTTATACTACAATATGTATAGTGTATATACTATATATACATGAAAATTGCGAGTAAAGTGTATAGAACGGACACCTCCTACACTATCGACTGTTGAGGTATTGAAAAGTTTCGTACAAAGTTGAAACGTCATCGTATTGGTACACGACGACAGCAATTACATTAACATGATATATATATATATATGTATTATGTACCTATTGGTATTTATGGTAGCATATACATATTAATATAATATGCATAGTTTCGTGCCGAGCATCGATCTATATATGGACGGATATCGTAACAAGATTAAATAAAAATAACGATTTATAATAATGAACCTGCGGTGATTTCATCGTTGGTCGGCCAGGTAATTAATAATTGGCGGCCTCGTAAAACAGTATGTACGCTTCGTTGCTGATGAGTTTCGCGGACGACGTGATCCGCGAGACGGAACTGTCGTTGAAGAAGTTCCAGTCGCCGGTGACCGGATGTTTGCACATGGCGGTGTAGTGCCCGGCGATCGGCGTGCCCGTGTGGTTGGACACCGCGTACAGGTTGTACTTGCAGCCGAGCGGCTGTATGCTCCGAGCCGTGCCGGACACGTACGGGCTCATGTCCAGCGACACGGACGGGAACGCCACCAGCGAAGTGATCTTCTTGTACGAATGCGTACCCTGGAAACGTTTGAGGTGCAGCACCAGGTACCTGGGCAACCGCTGGAACCGGTACGACTTGAACATCTTCCTGTCCACCTTGCAAACGCTGCACCGGGGCCGTTCACGGAAGTCCAACACCTCTTCCTGCGTGAAATTGTGCAGCAGGTCGTTGATGGACACTACGCTGGTCGACCCGCTGGACGGCAGTGGCAGCGACACGTCCCAAAACACCTGCAGTATAATATTGTTTAATACAATGTATTACGRGACAACGAYTTTTTAGTACAAATATATAACAATCCTCCTGCTGATTTTTGTGGTTATATCGTGTGTATACACACCCACAAMAATTATACACCATACGATATGAGACGCGTTCATTTGGGGCAGGGTGGACTATAGAAAAATACCTTTCGGCAGTGTGCATGAGTGTGATGGATGAGGTTAAGGCGGCTTCTCAGTTATACGCACCGGCAACGTTGCAGAGTAAAATATCGTTAAAGCAAAATTATTATTTAAAAAAAAAAAAACAAAAAACAAAAATGCTATATTATACGCGTTCTTCGCGTTACGCAATTTGGCGCCGGCGGCCTGGGCCCGTTGCCAGAGGAATGTGTATACGCGAGTATCTATATAATAGCGTATTTTTAATCTCGCGCGCTCGGATTGGGGTCAATTTTTTTAAATTTACAATTTAATTACATCGCAGCCACACTACATATCGGTTGTATAATAATATAAAAAATATAACATAATGGTATCATTATAATATTATAGTGCGAGCATCGGCCAAAAATCTCATAGTACACACTTAACGTCCATACACACATATACACACACACACATATATATATATATAACTCATATACCTCGAACGTGATACTCTTGTGGCCACATGTGGAACACTCGAGCGTAGACTTGAGCTGTCCAGCAAACAGGTCGACCACAGTACTGTTGTCCGTGGCCAGGTACCTCTGCCAGAACTCGGTGGCCAGCGCGTTGTCCTTGAGCGTCTCGTCCACGTCCGACATGGCCCGGGGCTTAACCTTCACCCTGTTAACGTCCATGTGCAGTCGGTCGAGCAACAGTCGCAGGAACTCCTGGGCGTCTTGCTGCTCGTAGCCGGCAAACCGCGGGGACAGCCGCTGGAATGCCGACTTGAACGCGGTGGTGTCCACCGGATGGCTGTCGGTAGCGTTCCAGATTCGGGACAGGAGATCCCGGTACGCCCGGATCAGCTTGCCGTCGGCCCCGTCCACATCGTCCAGTACGCTGTCCGTCAGGCTCTTGGTGTTGCTTAGGCACTGCAGCACAGAGTTCATGTAGCACGTATTTCCTATGTTTCGGATGCCGACCACCCCCTTTTTCGAATCGGCCACCGACCTGTACGCCGTCGACGACGACGATTCCGGGTGCACAGCTCCGCCGTTATCCGTGATGGCACCGTAATTTGTCCTGTTCATGTTGGCATATCTGGATTGCTGTAATGGTTCGTTGGGTGGAGGTGTGTCCTGCTGCTGCTGTTTGTTGTACTTTTCGAAGTACGACAAGTTGCCAGCTTTATAATTGTAAGATTTGTTCAGCAACGACGACGGCGATCTGCTGTTGTAGAACGCGTCCAAACGTTTTTTCGTTGCGTCATACCGTTTATTGTCGTTGCCTAGCTGCAGCAGTGCGGCTGCACCGCTGGTCTTCCCGCCGATTTCTCCACGAGCAGAACTTAGTGTCGTCGATCCACCACCGCTGGAGTACGACGATGTCGGCGACAGGCTTTTGGCCAGGCTCAGCGACCAGATGTTACCGTTGATGTCCGTCAACCGGGACGACGAGGCCGCGGTCGACCGGACCGGCGTCACCTGTCTGGGCGCGCTGCTATATGCCCTGGACCGCCGATCGGCGCTCAGCTCTGACGACAATGCATACGACGACGACGAAGACGTCGACGACGACGCACCGACGTGGTGGTGATGGAGGTGATGGCTGTGGTACGTCTTGGCGGTCGCGGTCCTGCCGGTGCCGTACTTGTCGGCAGACGATGACGCGTACATGACGTTATCAACGACGAAGACGACGAACACTCGTCTGCTGCACCGCCGACCCGACTACCGGGCCGCATAACATGTCCGTTTCCCGCCGCCGCCGTCTTCTCCTGTTGCACCGCCGCCAATCGCCCGTCCGATGCGACGATGTCCGTTCGTCGGCGTATATGATGTGTCCTGCACCAGTCGACGCAGCGGGTTTCCTCGTATTCGGCTCGTCGTCTCTTCCGCAGTGACGAATCGAGAGATTCTATTTCGTCGGCCTATGTATTTTATTATTGTTATTATTATTATTATTATGCACACAACTCGTCGTCGCACTGCAAGCGGCGGCCGCGCCGTCGACGGCGAAAACGGTAGCGCGGCGGCGGCGGCGGCAAATGATCGATGTGCGCGCGCGGTGCCGAAACGCCTCGTCCAAGGCGCGATTGTGTATTTTTAGCGCGGCGGCGGCGGCGTCGTCGTCAAGCGCGCTGGCGTGGCGGCCGCCGTGAGCGCGTTCGACCCCACAACCACGGCGTCAAGCGCCACTATCGATGTGCGGGCCACGCAACCATCGATGGACCGCGCCGTGCGACCATCGATGGCGTCCGTCGTGGTCCCGATGTCACCGCACGACGCGCGCGCGCCTATTGATTAACCTAGTTCGTCTCGGTTTTATTTTAGCGTTTATATATTATATATATATATATATATTATTGTTACGTACGCGTATTAAAAGGCATATTATATACATAATATCGTATTATATACACCGTGTGCGTGCGTCACGGTTATCGTCAATGCCATCACAACATAATATATATATTATAGATATTTATTACACGCTGTAAATACCTATATGTATGTGATGACTATATGTATATAATATGCATGTCATATATATATATACGTGTGTAGGTATATACCGCACACACCCACAACAGTCGGTGTAGCCTTGACAGGGTTTTACAATGGATGCATCGTGTATATATAATATATAATTCGGTTTGCTCGAAATGTATTTATTTTTTATCATCCGCCCGCGCCTAACCGCGATGACACAACACTGCTAGTAGATATATATATATTCATAATTTCTGATGGTTTATATTCGCACATGTCATGTCGACCTACCTACATATTATTATATTATACTCGAATGCGTGCGCGCCCGATGGTGACCGGAGGGCGGAAATCGCTTAGACGCGGGCTTGGCCTCTCAAGAATATTTCCAAAAAGGCCTCCCGAAAACCATACACTACGTTTGTCGTCGTGCTTTTTGAAATTGCCGACCCCCTCCTCAAAAATTCGACCAGATCGRCGGCCCTGCGATACCTGCTGCAACCATCATGTTATATTATATTAGGTATATACTACAATACCTGCAATATCCGCGCACGCCATGATGATGATTTCGTATTATATTATATATACAGCTAGCGTTGCACTGCGTATAATAATAGTGTCCGATAATAGGTATATATAAATATGTGTTTGTTTTCGTACACGAGACACGCTATATATATATGTACGTCATCTGTATGCACATTTTCGCCAGTGTAATGATTATGAACTTGGCCGATTTCCGGGGGAGATGACGACGAACTTAGCCTGCTATTGGTTTTGTCGACCATCACAGATATATAGCTGCCGTGCTTGGTGCTAAAACGGTATACATCTATGTAGACTATATTATATCATTAAACGCATTATTATTATTATTATTATTATTATTGCATATCGGCCGGCGTGCAGAGGTCTCGCGTGCGCGCGCCAAAGAGACACGCCGCCGGCCAAGGCCGCAGTATCTCTCTCTCGCGGGCGCCGGAATCAATATTTTTCAATAGGGTTTTACTTTAGTTTTTTTCCTCTTGTTTTTCGCAAAACGGGACCACACCTTTTTCGGCACGATGCTTTCAAATATTGGGCCGTTACAGCGGTGTCAACGTATAGTTATACCGATGGCGTGGTCGTCGCGCCCGCGATTTGAAACCTAATATATATCAATATACTATATGCTTAGGTTATTTAATATCGATATGTAAGTGGTAAGTCAACGATTTATCGACATTAAGTTTACGTATACGTATAAATAATATTATGAATGAGTAATTAAAATATATGATATATAGGTACACTGCATGTGTGACTAGAATAGGTATAGGTACCTACTATTGTTTGCATATATTATACATCACATCGTAATATTCATGATAGGCACTTACCATGCCATTCTCATATATAAGTGTCACGTTTCACTCGACTTTTCGGTCAGAAATTCATGTGGTATATAATAAATTATTACCTATATTATTTCGCAAAACTCATATATGAATGTTTGGCGTCTATACATTAATGTATATATGGTATAAAGTATAATAATATATCTTGAGATCAAATATCTGAATATCTCCAATATTGCCCACCGCGCCCTTTCGGTTGGTATATAGGTACTTGCCGATTAATTGATTGATTATCAAATCGCGGGCTCCGCTGCAGCATATATATGCTAAATTATATACTTACACATTTATAATGGGAGTCTAAGCCAAAGGTAACGAAGTTTCTATTATCAGATTGTGCATTATAATAGGGTATTATATATGAGTATAGCTAAATATATGTACATAATATATATTGTTCAGTGTAATAGGTATTATAGCAACGTTGTGTGTAGCTAGGTATCATATATAGGTAATATACGCAATAATAATAACAATATATTATATATTATAATTGAATGAATCAATTATAGTGCGATGGGATGTGACGCACGGATACATATTGTTTAACGTTTTGATATTGCTTGCAATAARCCAATAACGTACTATATATAACATGATTTATCTGATAATGGTTGTGAACATTTAATTTCAGTGAACTACRTGGAAAGTGTTTAAACGTTAAATATTCATTGTAAAATCACACTTCGGCAATGCATTATATTAAAATTTATTCAAAGAACAAATAAAGAAGCCAGGGGCAGGGAGAGAGCGACATGGTATTGTAYAGTTGGTGGAAYGCTTTATATAATATAATGAACAATACGAAAAGATTGTTCTACATTTTTATTGTTATTTAATTTAAGAATAATWATTAATTTTATKAAATATCTATACTAGCTGATTACTATATTTACTAACAATAAATAAATTCAGTATGTTCACGATATAATGTTTAAGGACTGGTAAGATAACACTAAATATTTTAGCAAGATGACTTTTATTCAGTTTTAATTTTAATAACTTGATTACATTCATTTTTATAAAATTCAAAGTTTTCTATATTTGAACTATTGTTTAGTGACGATGCTCAAAAAAAGAATTTGTTTTTAAAAAATGTATTGATGAGCGAATCGAGACTTGAGAGTAGGCATAAATTAATTTTCAAGTAGTTACAATATATAAATCATATAAAATCACACGGAGGTTTAATATAAAAAAATAAAAATAATAGTAAAAAAAACTTTTGGTTCTTATTTAATAATTTTTTTTTTTGTATCACATGCGATTTGTGATATGATATTATGGAGTTTGCATGTAACTTCCTATGAATTGTATTGATTCTTATAATATTTTACTCACTCTTAGACAAGAATTAAGATAAAAAGTGAAGAGTAGGTAACCACTTTGCTGTACTACAGTGTCAAGAGGTGTACCTCGTCATCGAGGAGTAAGTCATTGTAATGTATATATGTATTATTTGAATTGAATAATTCATTGTATTTACCTATAAGTACGAAAACAATTCTGAACGTAAAATCTTAATTCTTCAATTAAATATCTAATATCGTACAAAATTGAACCAAAAATGTGAGTCATAATATTGTTTAAATTGTTTATGGCGTATATATAGAATACGCTAATATAAACATTTTGGTGAAAATTTCAAGTATCTACAGTTTCTCATTTAAATCAAAAAAACAAAATTTATTTTGTCAATACTAATATATTATTACCTACTATTGTATGCGTAAAAATTCCGGTTAGGTATTCAATATTTTTTCCWCGGTTATATTTTGWGAAAACTTAACTTATTGTGAATTTTTACTTTAAACTCCTAAAAAACAACCACTATAGAATCAATTATTATAGTTACTAGAAAATCGAATGACAAAGCATTTTTACTGCCTCAAAAAGTGATGATTTAAAAAATAYATAATTACATATCTTATTATTCCGTTTTTAGAATTCGAAAAAACTGTTTAAGTCAAAGGTGTTTTTCTAAAGAAAGTTATGCGAATTCATAGGTAACCCAAAAAGGTATAGTTGATGCAATAAATTGCAATAAAATGCAACAAAAAAATATTAACCATTTGAATTTTTCAACAAAAAAAGGGTAATATTTAATGTCCTTAATGCAGTAAAAATAACCCGAATCAAATTAAAAGTTAGTTGTCCTAAATATTTAATATATGACCTTAAACCGTTAATCGTGATTAGTGATCATTAATAACACTGTATATATACATGCAGGTATTGGAGATACGCAAAATATTATTATAATATTAAGCAACRAAACACGACTGTCTTATTATATGATTTTATATCTTTTCTGTATTGAATATTTCTGATATGAYGCCAATAACTGCATTCGCTGAAATTTAGAATTTAAATGTTTGATTTCCCATACACAAAATATTGTAAAACCAATTTAAGTAACATAATATATATGATAATAAATTAGTTGTTGAGCAAAAAATTAGTAAATACTTGATATATAGATAGTTATTAGTCACATAAATTAATTAAACATTTGAAGTCAGGTTTAATTCACAAACATTAATATAGTAGGTAGTTACGTTTATTTAAGTACACAAAATGTTCCGAGAAATTCGTGAGTAGAGGTATACATATAATATATACATTGAGGTCCATTCATTTAAACGATTGGTTCAAACAATAATATATATTATTACTAGACATTTCGACGTGGGTGTATAATAATGTATAATATTATATATGTACATTAATTCTATTACACTTTACGTATACGTATACGGTGTTCTGTATATTATATAGGTACCTACAGATATAAGACTGATGAATAAAATATAAGAAATGTATTTCAACCGATTTCAGCAATTTAAAAAGTACAACATTTTTTACTAATCTAATATTTTTATGGGTAAAAAAATAAAGCGATCGTTTAAAAAAATTCAGTTATTCGATTAATTATATGACTGACATTGAATTGAGTCCATGCTACTTTTATGTGTTTGAATTGTGTCCCGGGATATTCTCATATAATATTGTGTTTGAATTGAGTCCCGAGTATTATCTTATGTACTTGAATTGAATTCGTATAGATAGATAATATATCATAACTCTCTTCAATATAGCCGGTGACGACCTTAAGGTATAATTAGGTTAAGCTATAATTATAGCAACAAAACCATGTAAAATTACATTGGAAAAGGTAACAATTTTTACGGGAACAGATAAAAAAAATACATCATTATACTAAACAAATTTGCAGATTTGAGTTTTTTGTCTATATCTTTTAAATTTTTCCCGGCAACTATTTAAATTATATTATATTAATTATAATACGCATCATTTTTTTAAAAAAATTTTAAATTAATTAACTTTTTGTACTTTTTACTATTTTGTATTTTTATATTTAACGTTTAAAAAAAAAATACTGCAAACAGTCACACACAATTTTTGAGAGACTTATACTTAGACTCAGTCAACATCCATCGTGATGTCTCCAGCAGGATAACGATTATAAACTGAAGGGACTCAACTCCGATAATCTGAAAATATTTGCAGGATTTAATTCAACATGATTGGATTAATATATTATATAGGTACATTAAATATTAATTTTCAAATTTAAAAAATATTATAACATTTTTTTATTTTTTATTAAAAATAATAATATTCTTTAATGCCTATCCATATTAAATTTAAAAAAATTAAAATAAGAGTTGTTCAGCTAATATATCTACATGCAGTAGGTGATTTCGATTGTACCTCGTCACTGAGTTAGTCACCGTAATAGATGAATTATTTATAATATGTAGAACTTGAACTCAACGATAAATTACTGCATATATATTATTATACAACTATAGGTAACGATTCTGATCGGAAACGGTGAGTTAATCACTATTTCTTAAGTTATTTTTACAAACAGTATAATAGTTTAATACAGTAGGTAAAACTTATTTATGCCAAAAACATTACAAACATTAACCTATGTTATAAGTTATTATAATATAATTATATCATAGACTAAAGCAAAAAACAATAAAATATATATAAGTCAATATCGACGTATATACGGGGTACGTATATTATACCCCAGAGGCTAGAAAATATATACAGAATGTTGTGAATATATTGGTGGTATAAAAAGCTTAAATTTAGTATACCCAAGTATCTACATGTATTGAAAATGTCATTGTATAGAAATTAATAGTATACACTATAACGTTATCGCGTAGTTTCACTAGTTTCAGGTCCGTACGATCAATATTGCTTGAAATAAATAAAAATCGTTTGATGAGAAACGCCACATTAAGTTTGATCGATCAATTTCGTTAATATTTTAACATCAAATGCTTATAAAGTCATAAAAATGTAATGAGGTTACATGGTATTTATTATTTTAATTCCAGCAATGACAAGTATGATGAAAATTTGTATTCAATTTCCAAGATTTCGGTATTATAACTAAAAACTAAAAATTATATGAATTTTTAATTATATTTCTTAAAAACTTTGCAAATTTTCGTGATTTTGACGAATTACATCAGTCGTATATAGTAAATGCTATTAAAAATATTATATTTGATGAAACTTCAATAGTCTCTATATATACGACTATTCATTTTTGAAGTTATAACAAAAAATAATCTGTTCTATAGTTTTAACGGATTATTTTTTTAAATAATAAAGATTTTTATTTCCAATCCTAACAATAATAAAAAATCCAATTCGCTAGCAGAAACTACAAAGTTGAAGCTTTTTTTTACTGCCACTAAATAAGACACCCGCAGACACCACAAGGCACAAAATAATACATAATAGCAAAACCATTACATTCTTCGCTACGCCGCTCAGATCTTATAAATCTTTACGTGCCTACTTAATAATGAGTATAGTTTTTACTCGGTAAACTCGGTGATGTAAGTACAGAAAATTAAAATTTGATTAAACTTAAGTTTTAAACTATTTTTGAGTGTTGTTGGCTAAATCAAAACTTTAGAAGTATGATAAAAGTTTTTGRAATAGGCTATTAATAATATACAGCTGAACTGTTGGGAACAAACGTAGTATGAGTTGAGAAATAATTATATGATAAAAATCATTAAATACTGAATTATTTGAATGTGCCTCTTCATTTAGTAAGTCACTGGGTTAAAMTTTAATTCAAAATAAATCATTGCATACGAAAAACGGTTYGGTTAGAGGATGCCGTGTAGCGACCACTATAATAAGGATACCTATTCAATAATTAATTWATATTAAGTGAATCTCTAACAACAGAAAGGGGGTAARTCCATATTATAGATTTTTWAWTTTTTTATTTTTTATTCAACCATTTTGAATTTAACATACCGCACRCGTAAATTACATCGTTTACCGCAGAGAAGAGACAATTCCGACTGTCCGTACATTTAAAAATAGCTYTATTAGCACTCGGAAATAATAGTTTATAACAAAGAGGATAATAATATATTTACATTAGGTACCAGTACCCATGTKTTTGTCTCTCCTAAAAAGTTATTTAAATTGGATTTATCCCTTTTCTGCAGATAGCAATTCTACAAATATTCTACTGCAGTCTACAATAAGTAATTTATTTTTCTAATGGTAATACAGTATGGTATGTTGAGCTAATTTTTACCAGAAACGTTGCATATTATTATACCATAACTGATGTGTGCTGGCTTCGCATGGGAGTAGTTAYRTTACTGCTTTACCTCGGTGTAGACAAATTTTAGATTTTTTATTTTTATTTTTTAAGGTTATTCCGACGAAAATAAAACTCGTTAACTATTTTACTGTACCGATGTAGACTGTAGTATAGAGTATAGACAGTATATAAGCACTAGTTAAAATACAAACTAAATCAAATTTKYTATTATTTACTTGATGATTGCAGGTGTGCTTATGCTAAATTTCGTCATTTTCTCAAAAACCACTGGAAAATTCAATAAATATTTTTTTATATAAACTATATACAGACTGTAAACAGTGTTCAGTAGTAAGGTTATACATTTAGAGTTGTGGCAATTACCATCATCATATTACACGTTACGCCATAATAGAGTATTTAYTATTTGCCAAAATTTTATTCAAAATAACATTTGTAACCCGTTCAGGGAAGAAAAATATTTTATAACTTAAGATTTTTTTTTATATTTCAATAATAGTGGCATAGGTACCTTTACGTACCTAATAAGTACCTAGGTAGGTATTGTCGTATTGAAGAGTTATTATAATATGATATTCAGATCCCTTCTTGACCTTTTTTTTTTTTTGTGCTGTAGAACATTCATATAATTATACAATTATAGTAACCAATAACCATCACGGAAATACATATCATAACAGACAGAAATTATAAAGTACCTGTCTTTTATAATAAATCAAAAAGGTATTCTATAATAACACATAATTCGTATATCTACTATTGAAATCTAAATACTTGATTAGATTAGGTAGTTTAATATTTTGATTTTAAAATGTTCTAGTCATGCTACATTTTCTATGTATTTCGATTTCGGTTGTCAAGGTTCATGAGAAAATCAAAAAACAATATATAAATATTACTAAATATTGGACTCCAGAACTTAATTTATCAAATATAACTATTTATTTGCGAATATTAAAAAAAAATTAAAATTTATCCAAGGGATGATTGATAGGCTTGAGCCAGTGGTGTATTTAGGGAATTGAAAAAATGACAATAGACATAATTTATTGGCTGTTAAAGTATTGGATCAAAAATCTAGAATATATAGATGTTATTGAAGAATTTTCTCAATAGAAGTTGATCGTTAAATGAAATCGTAATTTATTAATCAGGTTTATTTATCATTATGTCAAAATATAAAAATTTTCTCTAAACAAGTGGAAGCATGAATGCAATAAGGGTAAAAATATATAAATTTTTGAGTATCAYTTTTAATGGAGAGATTATCTAATTAGAGGGGACTTGAAAGGTTTTCTATGACAATGAGTGAAATGACATTTTGAGAAAAAAAGGAGTCAAAATCGTAAATACATCTATGGATTTAGCCCTCATCTCTGGGGGGGAGGGGGGCATCAAATAATATCAATTCCTTATCAGGGTTTATTTAAGCATTTAATTATTTTGACGCCGGCATAATGATGATTGAAATTAAAATTACCTTTAAGCATAAATAGACCATAAAATAAATATATAAACAATTTTATAATAAGATTAATTTTAAATATTGTATTACTATATTATGTAATATGTATACATATAATTTTTTTTCCCGGCCTTTTTTTTAGATTTGGGGGGGGGGCATTGCTCCCATAGCCACCATATTGTGTCCGCGCCTGAATAAAACATGGAATGGTGCTAAGATTCCAACACTCCATAAGTATAAAAAAGGTATATTAATTGTATGTTATGTTCTGAGATCATAAATAAAAATATTCAAAACTCAAAAGCATGGATTTTTGTATAATATTAATTTAAATATGGTAATCTATACAGTATTAAAACTATACAAAATATGTAATATTTTTTCAACATCTAACTTATATTTATATAAGTAGGTGCATTGTTCATGATCACATAATAAAACAAAATAAAAATAGAATCAATTAAATGTTTTTGATAACTTTATTTTTTAAATTGAATTATTTTCTCTTGCCATATAGTAGGAAAACTTTTAGTAGTGCTTACTGGTGAGTGGTGGTGTGCTGCYCCTAATTATTGTACTAATGAGTGAAAACAAAAATAAAATTCAATAATTTGTTCTTTATTCACATACCAAAATGGATACATTTATCAATAATCATATAGATAAGTAGTATCTATACTGAATAATAATTTGTAGAGAGTTATATTATATCATTCTAATGTTTAACATAATGTAATAATGTAAACATTATAATGTATAATGCATATTTATATATATATATACTTTATTAGATTAAATATTTAAATGTTTACAAATAATTAAATATAATACCACAATATAATTCATAATTCATATCATCTCCCCACACAGCCACTAATTGTATGATTTTTTTTTTTATAGTCATAAAAATAAAAATTCAAAATAATATAACAAATTATACACATTATATAACATAAATAAATACCTTATAAATGTAATATTTCTTAAAAGAAGGTATATTTTATCATATCATGTCGTAACTTGTTCCAGTAATTTTCTAATAACACATTTAAGTTTTTCAGCTAGTTTCTCAGCTGTATTGTCTTGGTCCAAYTGTGGCACATGAATAAATATAGTTTGATTTTTATTAATACATAGTGACTTAAAATAAATGTACTCGCATAAATATCTGTATAATACATTAACACACATAATAGGTATGAATGAAAATTAAGAAAAACTATAAATGCTCATAACTACCTTCCTGCATCTCGAGAAGTGCATATATCTAATTCATCAGTGCATTCTATTTTCAAGCCAGTTTCAATTACATTATTAACTAAACACTTATCATCAGGACCGTTCCCATGAATATCCATACTACAATAACCATGCCCATTAGCGACCAACTCAACAGTCAAYGTTTTAGCCAAGTGTGATACACCTAAATGAACCATTAGCTAAAATTTATATATTATATACTGAAATGGTACAAATTTCCAATTTTATTTTTTATATTGAAAACTTACAGCAGGTTCATGTTGGACCCAGAGTGTCGGCACAATCTGATCAACGTCTTTGTAAGATACGGGRATATTGATTGTAACCAAATTTATGTTTAATTCTTCAGCGATACCAGTTTCCGGTAATAAACGAGCAACCTCCCAACTTGCATTCACTATATAGTCTCGAAAAAGTCCAAAACCAGTGACAACTACAGTTTTTTGAGTCATAATTTGWTAATTAATGATACAATGGTATTTATTAAGTGCCTAACAATTTAGAATGGTACACTTTAGATATTTTTTTTTACTAATAAAAAAYAGTATCAACTTCTAACCTAATTTATGTATTATTAAATTAAAAATTAAAAATATTATCATACATTGTGTCCATTGTGAAATAATTATAAATTAATAATATTATTAAATTTTTAAATTGTATACTTGATAAGGAGGTGATAACATTATTGGTTCAAGGAGAATACAAACATGAGTTCCTCCATTCAAAAACATTGGTGGTCACTGGTCTGTACAACTACGGTCTACGGAGTGCGGAATGTAGAAATTAATCCTACATTTAATATAATATATCAATATTATAATTTGTAAGCACAGATATAGATAATAAATCTTTATTATCTATATCTGTGTTTGTAAGAGACTCGATGTCTAAAGAGTAAAGATCCTTAAAAATTTAGGTTATCTAAGAATATGGGATGTTGAGTTCAGAGTTGAGCTGTAAAATTCACACTTTTTCACTTATTCTTTACCATTTTTCGACAGTGTTTTCTCAAGTTTTTCTTACATTTATGCTGTAAAAAATTAATTTTAGCGACATTGTTGATACTGGTCAAAATATTATGATTCGTTTTGAGTGATTTACAGACATTTGAAATTGTCTATATTTTAGAGTCTGAGGGGAGTGATGAATGTTTATTGATTTTACATCAATGGTGTGTGCTTTTTTTTATTATTTATTATTTTTTTTGTGTGTATGTGTGTGTTTGGGTTCACGACAATTAGACATTTAGACATAAGTCGAAATAATTCTTTGATCTTCAACTTCAGTATCTTTTCCGATTTTCCGTTTTTCGTATATGTATATATTTAAATGCCAAATGCTCAAAAATATCACTCACTCTTCGATGAATCTCAAAAATAATACTAATTGTATGAACTTGAAATATAAATTAAAACTGTGTTAATGTCATTTTTTTTTTTTAATAGATTTATACCACTTTTTTACAATATCTAAGGTAAATATGACTGACAGTTTTTATTTACTAATATTTAAAGAATGAACGAATTTTATTCATATTCATAGAATATACAAATAGTTGTCTTTGTTGAAAATTGCAATTTAAATAATTAATTAACATCAAAAACGTTKAGTATGTGACTAATTAATTTTATTGAAACGAAGTGCGCTGTAGGCATTTATCCTCACCAGTATACATATAGTGTAATTTTGTCTCGATCCATTGTCCCAAAGTTACGAGGGAAGAGTTCTAATCAACGTCAACATTAAATTTATCTTAATAAGCCCTTTTAAAWTAATAATTGGATGCGACCGGAAGTAATTGATAACAGGGTAATTTCACTATAAAAAATGTAAACTATTAAACTATAGTAATGAGTATTTAGTTGTGTGTTGTCATAATCAAAACATCTGTAAATAATGTAGTAAGCAATTGTATATTCAAATACATTGGTACATACCTGAGTATAATTTATAATATGATGCGGGTATACTTTTTTTTACATATTATACCTAATGAMATTTAAAATAAGAGTAAATAATATCTATATATTTTATACATAATTTTAATATATTATTATTACAAGTTGGTTATGTAACTATATAAGATCGAGATYCAATCAATAATTACCTGATGCCTCATAGTTTTTTCATATACTTACCTACTAATTAATAAATATCAACAAAAAAAATTCTGAATTTATGTTTAAAAATGTTTAATCATGTATAATACTGTATAATATAATGTTCGCCCAACGGTCATAGAAGTCGCGAACTTGTTTTGTTTATAAAAAAATAAAAAAAATATCAAAAATACATAACTTAAATATTTTTTTACGTGAGATTAGAGTTCAAATATTTACCAGTCCAGCCTGTTATAAAAAGTATGTATGTGTATTGTGTATACTTGTGGATTTGAAATAGATTCTATATTTCTATACCTAGGTCATTATGGAAAATATATTGTTGTCGTCTGAAATTTTAATGAGATTCCATTTTAAGTTGTTTTTTACATAAAATATCAATACTGTATTTACCGTGGAAAGTTTTTACATCGATATGTAAAATGGATGACTAAATATAATAAATAACATTAATAACAAATACATCCATACACATACATTGTTATAAGATACAACATAATATAATATCAGCTTTGTCTTTACTGATTTTCCCCTCCGCATTCAATTGCATAATAATTCTAATTAGATCCTTCGTTAAGAAGCCTTTAGAAGGACAGTTTTTGTCGGCACACAGTTTATATGCTTTCATAATTTGTTAGAAGATCCTAAAGGCATTGTCCGATTACCAAGGCTCCGTATAATTTAGCAGTTTAGCAGATCAATAAAATAAAAT